TTAGAACCAATCAAATAATTTCATTCGTGCCTTAAGTATTGCTATGATATATTCCCAGGGCTGTAGAGAGTGATGGTGATTGTAACCCCTAAAGTATCGAGGATGCTCGGAAGCAAAATGACACTACAGCTTCCATATAACACTAGGTTTTCCGAAATCTTGAAAAAAAAATCAACGTTCATTTGGATTAAACAAAAAGAGATTCGCGTAATAGAACTTTATAGACAGGAGACATTCCATGAAATCTATCCAAAATTTTAATCTTCTGATGTCTATAAATGTCTCGGTATAGGCCAAACAAAGAAAGGATGTACGTCAGTTTTTGTTCTTTTATTTTTCAAACCCATTGGTAGGTTTAAAATAAAATGCTATATTGTTAACAATAAAATTTTGGTTTCTGTTAATTGCCAAATCTCGCACCTGTTTAATGTTGCATGATAAACTTCAACATTGATAAGCTATCGTCATAGAATTAAGAGTACCAGGATGGTCTCTGAAACGGATAAGGAACTCCGAACTTAATTTATAACAGGCACGTCTTGCTATCTCACAAGATGTCTGTTTAGAATTTAATGAAATACAAACATAATTTTATGAAATATCATCAACCTGTGGCATGATATAAAGATCATTTTACCTAGTACAAGTTCTGGAACTTTGGTTTGTGATTGTTGCAATTTTACTTATTGCGGCAGAGAAGGAAAATGCCATTTAAGTGATATCATTTTCTGATGACTTTTAAAACCTGTGCGCACCAGACAGATGTCAAATACCTGTGTAGGAACCTTTACATCTAAATCAACAATAACTATATCTAAACGAGAATTTTCTAGATTATTTAGTAAATCGTCAAAAAAACTAGATATTTATCACAGTAGATAATCTTCCCCCTGGTTCATGTTAAACACCACAATTTCCAGCATTTGTACAAATAAGTTTAAGCAGCATACAAGTCCTGACGTTAAGACACTAATTCATAATTTGTACAATAGTCTAGCGTGCCACACACTCTTAAACATTGCTGTCTATGACTACAAACACGGATGTGGCAACTGTATTCAATAACAACAAAAAATACTGACCCGCTGAAACATAAACTCAAATTCAATGAAAATAGGACAGAATATTAACAAAAGAAAGACATACAAGTAGAACAGAAGAGGTACGAGGAGAATCAGACCAACTGTGCCCACGATGCCCAGGGACATCAAAAACATGCTCAATTGGTGACTAATAAAGTGGTTCCCATTGCCAACCGAGATCTCGAACAGCTATATCATTCTGAATAGCATGCCATGTTGATACACAACCAAGCCTGGTACTTCCCCGGAAGTCCTAAGCTTGACATTCTGATTATGTCTGCCAGTCTCAAAATAAATTCGACACAACTAGGAACCAAAGAAAACATACAAATAAAGTTTTAAAATTTCAACTGTCACAATCTAAGATGGCTGCCTGTCAATCATATTGTTACACTACTCAGACTCAAAATTGAATGGACACATTTAGTGACGTAGGAGAACCTATTTCAGGTTTGAAAAATATATATTCTGTACATGTCAGGATATAATGACAACAATGATTATTTGAACAGACCATCATCTGAGGATGATAGACTAAAGAGTTACTTTAGTCGACTTCTCTGTGGAAATACCCTTTAGTATTACTAAACGCGCTTTGTTTTTGTCAGGATAAGCGTACTCAACTGATACACATGATGTATTTCACGGCCATGCTATCTCTCCGACCTCGTGATAGGTATTTTCGTATCAATTATCATATATAGACAGATAAAACACGTATCATACGAGAGTAATGCGTTACACATATAGCTGGAGGTGAAAAATAAAAATTGAAAAAAAAACTAAAACAGCGGGCCAAAACTTGGTGCAAAGACGGCAGATAAGTTTTGTCGCATTAACTCCCTTTATATTTCATTTGGGAGTTGTCTCCCTTATGTCACAAACCAACGAGTTCAGGGTTCGTATGCATAAAAATTCTAAGTATTTTTCTTAAATGTTTACATTTTCAACCTACTTTACAAAGCAAGTTGCTTATTTTCCGTTGCATAAAATTCTAAGCATCATGCTTAGTTGTTTTTAGCAGATTGCAACCTTCTTAATATACTAGTTGCTAATGAAGCGACATACCGATTCCCGCAATTTTTGTTTACAAACAAAGGCACGTGAATAAAAACGCGTGCCCGGTCGTCTGCTTTCTTCAATCGCATTGAAATTGTATGCAGTTAAAATGGTCTAAGAAACGGGAGAGACGCCATGCAAGAAACGAAAACCAAACTGGACTGCCGACGAATGTCTTCCTCTCATAAATCTCGTAGAGGAAAACAAAGTTGTGCTGAGATCTAAGTTTGTGGCTGGGATAACAACCAGAGGAAACGAGAGACTTGGAAAAAGATAGTTAATGCTATCAGTGCGTCTTCCACCGTATGTCGATCGACTGAGGAAGTTGAAAAAAAATTGCAAATTCTCCAAATGAAATGAAAATCGGAGCTGTCCGACCACAAAAGACAGACAATGATGACGGGTAAGTTACGTGTATACATGATGGTTGAATTCCGATAAGTCCCGAAAATTCATTCATTCTGCACATCGTTCTGCAGACGACATTTAAGCTAGCAGTAGTTAGTGGGCTCAAATGTACCAAATACACTTTGACATAACATGTGAAAATATAAACGTTGAAATTATCGCTACAAAGTTGCATTTCCCCAGTAGCATAATATCTTAATGCAATCATAACCTGCAAATGTGGAGGTAAGCTGTGGTTTCTTCCCGTCGCAGGCGCGATATCGTCTTTAACAATATCAGTAATAAAAAGAATTCCCTCACTATCAAATCTAAATCTCTGATAAAGTTCAAATGCATCGAAGTTTTGAAGTGGGTCAAACCTGTCTCTAAAATGTCTTTCTCGTCTCAACGCCCTTGCAAACTGTTGAAAAGCATTATGCTGCCCATTAGCGACGGCCATTTTGTTGGATTACGTAACTTGCTTAGAAATTTAAGACTGGCTCAGAGGTTGTTTAAAGATAAGAATATTCTTAAAAGATAAGAAATTTATATTTTGATATTTTGATGGACGCATTTGGTACTTCAGGTACAAGTAGCTCTATTTATCATATACAAGATATATTTTTCCTCAACTGTTTGATAATGAACACTATTTTCGACATCTTAAATTATACTGTTTGACGTGGTAATACGCACGCTCGTTTTATTCCATGATGGACCATAGACACGGTGAATAAAATTATAGTGTTTTGTCTGGACATACATTCCTGTTTATGTACAAGGTTATGTTTTAGGGAACTAATTTCGACACATCCGTCAATTTTAATTGTTATTGTCGCAATATCCGGAAATTGAACTGTGGATTATTACATACACTTGATCACAACATTGATAAAGTTGAACAATACAAATTTGATCGTGTACCGCTCTATTGTCATTATATTTACAATGTATCAAAGTCCTCAAACCAGCAAAACTCAAATTAGTATAAACGGATGAACTATTCATATGATTTGTTGTGTAGTTATTTAACAGGTATTACATCGACTATTCAGGTCCGGCCTTTTAACATGTTTTCTGTTGTTGTTTTTTGTTCTTTGAGGGCCATAGCATATATTATATATTTTCCGATTTTTTTCCCCATTGATCTAGTGTATCTCTACGAAAGGAATATAATTTCAGACAAACATGCCGTGAATTCATGTTATCAAAGGAGAGAAGCCCCACACTCAAATTATATATCTATATTATACCCAAACTATGTGGTATCCATATTGTACCCCAACTATATCGTATATATATTGTACCCCAACTATATCGTATATATAGTGTACACCAACTGTATCATATATATATATATATTACCCCAACTATATCATATATATATTGTACACCAACTATATGGTATATATATTGTACACCAACTATATCGTATATATATTGTACACCAACTATATCGTATATATATTGTACCCCAACTATATCGTATATATATTGTACCCCAACTATATCGTATCAATATTGTACCCCAACTATATCGTATATATATTGTACCCCAACTATATCGTATATATATAGTACCCCAACTATATGGTATATATATTGTACCCCAACTATATGGTATATATATTGTACCTCAACTATATGGTATATATATTGTACCCCAACTATATCGTATATATATTGTACACCAACTATATCGTAGATATTGTACACCAACTATATCGTATATATATTGTACACCAACTATATCGTATATATATAGTACCCCAACTATATGGTATATATATTGTACTATATCGTATCAATATTGTATATATATTATATATATTGTACCCCAACTATATCGTATATATATACCCCAACTATATCGTATATATATTGTACCTCAACTATATGGTATAGATATTGTACTATATCGTATATATATAGTACCCCAACTATATCATATATATATTGTACCCCAACTATATCGTATATATATTGTACACCAACTATATCGTAGATATTGTACACCAACTATATCGTATATATATTGTACACCAACTATATCGTATATATATTGTACCCCAACTATATCGTATCAATATTGTACCCCAACTATATCGTATATATATATATATCGTATCTATATAATACCCCAACTATATCGTATATATATTGTACCTCAACTATATGGTATAGATATTGTACCCCAACTATATCGTATATATATTGTACCCCAACTATATGATATATATATTGTACACCAACTATATCGTATATATATATATAGTACCTCAACTATATGGTATATATATTGTACCTCAACTATATGGTATATATATTGTACCCCAACTATATCGTATCAATATTGTACCCCAGTTGTGCCGTATATATATTGTACTCCAACTATATCGTATCAATATTGATTAAAAGCTGTCGGCTTCAACTATCTTCAGCGTCACTAGGTAATGATAATATTAGCCAGTCTGAATTCGTGATTGTTTATTCTGATTTCTTACAAATCAAAGCATGGAATCAAATAACAATAAAATTCAACATTCAGAACTAAACAAAGACATGACTTTTCCAGAATTGAGTAACAGATCAAACTCCAGTTTTACTAAAAACATCACAATACAGGTTAACAAGAGGGCATACTTCTGCTGTTAAAACACCTTGCAGCAAGTAAGTTGCTCATTCTGTCTACCATCTTTTTAAAAGATGTTGAATATTGCAATTTGAAATATCATTACTTACTCAATGTGTGCTCCATTTCTGCAATTTGGTGTTTCACAAATGAGTAATGAAGCTGTGGAGCAATCAAGACAAAAACAGATATACACAAACATACTTGCTATAAGGTAAATTGTTGTTTAAAAACACCAATACTGTTAAATACGTCATTTTGTTCCTGGCCTTCTTTAAACAGTTATTTGGTATTGCACAATTAGTTAATATGTGCTGCAGACAAACATTGTTTTACTTGTGTGTTATTGATATTATAGAGCACAGGGATTTGGCATGAACTCCAGACCCACCTTTATATCTATGTATCTATAAAACATATGTATATATGGGCAATGGGTCGACAATCCCTGCCAAACCCCTGTGTTATAGAGCAGGACATGTCAGAAAGATAGAACCGCCCAATTTAACAATGTACTTGTTAAACTAAATGTGTTGGTATATAGTTTTACAATACTTTCTATTGTTTCTATTATATATTTACAGGCAGGGTTAATTATTGTTTACGGCTTTCTGGGTTATACTGTATATATACTATATAATTTCTGATGACTAGACGAATGAAACCTGATCCTCCAGATGAAAGGTACTTTAAACAACATGTATGTTATAAGTGTATATATAGATCTATCTAGGGGCGATTCCATCTCACTATGTCTGTTCCCTTATATAGTTTATACATATTAGTTAATGGTTGTTGTCTTTCTGTTATTTGACTTATTGTATCACATTTAAAAAAACTAAAAACAATCTTGTATTACCCAAACTCTTACAACTCTTTTTTTTATTTCAATGGTTATTTTTTTCTTTTCAATTTTTCATTTTTATCATTATCATTTTCATCATTAAGGATGTTTCAGGAAGATTAACAGCAACGGCTGAATTTAGATCAAAATTAAAATTCCTTGTGTTTTCAGACTGAAATATTAAATTTGATATAAAGTGCAAGAACATGTTTGGGAAAATCTTAAAACAAAATATCAGTTGTTATAGCTAAATAAACATTGATGCAACTGCAGGAACACATCCAGTCCTGAGGTTACCATGGATATTGATTAATGCTTGCCGACAACACTTATATATGTAATGAGAAACACGGACAATGATGACAATGAATGTATTTATGATAATAATGAAGCATGATATAAAAGGTAAAATGTTTCTCATTGCAATGTGATGATAAGTCTATTGATAAGTCTGAATGATGAATGTTAAATGTACAGGTCACTATACACCTATTTAAAACCACATTTGTGTTATTTACATTTGGGAAAAAACTGCTAAATAAAACACCTATACTACATGGAAACAAAGCAAATATACATACAACACTGTAACAAACATACTGCTCCATCGAAAGATCTGTTAGTCAGGAATATTTCTGTTAATGACAAGTCTGTACCTTTCTCTATACAACATACTGCTCCATCGAAAGATCTGTTTAGTCAGGCATATTTCTGTTAATATCAAGTCTGTACAGATGTTCTTTACAAAACACCCTTCTCCATTGGAAGATCTCTCCATTTAGTCAGACATATTTCTGTTAATATCAAGTCTGTACAGTTGTTCTTTACGTAACAATCATCCTGCTTCATTGGAAGATCTCTCCATTTAGTCAGACATATTTCTGTTAATATCAAGTCTGTACAGTTGTTCTCTTTATTGTCATGACATGGTAAAATGCACTGTCATCCATGTAGATGTATACAAACATACAACACTGATCCTGTCCTTACTTCTAAGCTTATGTGAAATGATGGGGGCCTAATTTATAACCATGACAACAAAAACATAGTTACTTTTAATAAACAAAAGTTTAGTTCTAAAAAAAAATAATGTAGTAAATCTAATCCATGGAATGAAATGTTGAGAAGCACTTGGCAATGATAAAAATAATTCCTTTGCTTAAAAACTAAATATATGTTATACACCATATATATGCCCCCATTTTTCTGCATAAACTTGATAAATTTTTTCTAACAAATGAAAATTGTTTGTTTTTAAAAGATTTTTTCGCTAAACAATACTGTAAATAAAAACCATATCTTACCAATCCTTTTAAGCAAAGAAAACTTAAGGCATTTCTTTCTATATTTACTTAAGTTGTCTTCCCTATAAGGCACAGCAAACATCCATATATACGTTTTCACTAGCTCAGAGTTAACCTACATTTGCCCTACTTAACCCTAATCTAGTTTAACTTCTAGCCTAGGCAACAAGTAACACATGCTAATTGTAGTACTCCTAACTCAAAATGAGAGAAATTTTGATCTTCACATGTTTTCATTTCATCACAAGCATTTTATACAATTATGGCACATTTCTAAAGATGTCTACTGTCTGCGACCTTAATCCAATAAAAGATATAAACATATGACTGAAATGTTAATCCAACAGTATTTCACACTACAATTACAAGTTTTGTTTCACATAATTCTTTTGGTTTTTTTCTTCTTTTCTTTTTGATTTCTTAAATTTTTTTTAATTACTAAATTTCTTATATTAGGTTTCAAATTCCTTATATTATACAATTAGATCTTTGAAGTGCTTGTGATGGATATTCCTACCGAAATGTGATAAGTAATTCTGTAAGTTCCAACACAAACTATCTCCTCACTTACATTATCTTAACATTATACAAGAACAGCTGTAGTGTGGAACAAAAACGGGGTCAGCTGAAATGAATGACTTTGATGTGCATTGTCGGTCATGTGTTATAAAGATTAAGCTAAATCCCCTAGTAATTGAACATTTGTAGAATACGTTATTACATCATACACACTTACATAACACATCATTCATTAAATTAAATATTACAGCTTTGCAATCCATGGGATGACATGATACAGGTTAATTCCCACACTATACAAACAGGCTGGATTATACCAACTAAGATCCGGGACTACAAAAATGTGATCATTAATATTTAACATAAAGTACACATATACAGTCATTTACAACAAACGTGTTTAAGTCACCGTACTTGAGCATCAAAAGACTCTAAACAGCATTGTCTTCCAGTCATATCAAAATTATGTGCAAGCTACAATGTGTATATTAGATTGAAAGTATGTTATTTTCAGTACTTAATAATTTTAACAGTGGTCTCGTGAAGAGTAAAGCATAAATTTAACCAAGATAAGTTTGTTACAATTATACATCTTATGTGTTGTTTCTAAAAACTAATTAAAATTTCATTAACAATGGTAAAAATATGAAGATTTGAAACATTCCATTAATTTTGATTAAGTTCATGGCCTTATTTGATACCATATTCTACCTATTAAGTGCACTTGCCAAGAAAAGCTAAACTTCACTTTCTCTTTCAGTAAAGGATAAATTTGCTTAATTCAAGCACAGCGATATGTTGTTTTATTTTTACTTCTTTGACCAACAAATGCAATATCTGACCATTCAACCATTTGCCTCCAATATTCCAAATCACTATACAAGCAGTATGGCTGATATTTACATATTTAAATCCCCCCACCCTCTTTCTCCAACCAAAGATTCATGGCTCAACTCATTTGAAATGTATTTTTCTCCATAAATACACACCTTTAAGTGTGTTTGTAAACATACAGAACAGTGCACTTAATTGGTTGAATATAATGCACAACAAAAATAATTTGAATACTTATCAAACACTAGTCAGTCTTTTTTCACACAATATTTTCAGGATGACAATATATATGCATATAATTATGACGACATGAATCTACATCTACTTTTCAAAAATGTTCTGTTCTGAGGATGCTTCATAAAGAAAAATGGATTTCTATTTTAATTTGTCTGCCTCCTAAGTTGGATCTTTGTAAAATTAATCTATATCCATCCTTTCTACTACCTTGAAATATCTTCTATAAGATGTCATCGAATTCAACGAAAATTAATCAGAAAAATTTCAGGGACTAAATTTTCCTGGGGCCTGAATCATGGAGATCAGATTAGAAACACTACTACATAATACAATTGTTCCGCATAACCAGTCCTAATATATGTGTTACCTCCCCTTGTATCTTAAGGTCCATCATGACCAGTCTTTATATATCTTGTTACCTCCCCTTGTACAGAAGTTCACACTGCCTCCATTGCACATCAAGTGTACCTAGCTTGTCACTTCTTAAAGGAGGTTTTCTAAACAAAGACCTCAGATGGTACAAGAATAGTGTGTAGTGTTACATTCTTAACCCACTAGATGCTTAAATGCTTCATCTTACCCTTTGCATGAATACTTACTGGCACTACATGTCACTTCAACATGGTTTTCTTTTAAATTGCTCACTTTGATCTTTGATGCCCATGTTGATTTTTAATATCTGTTCATTTCAACTAAAACCTTTTGACATCACATTCCTACAATCCAGTTTCTTGTTTGACAACCAGAACATAATGTGATTTCTGTTGATCAAGGTCTTTCCATACATTTACAACTCAGATCTTTTTTTTAAAGAACCATTTTCAGAAGAGTCAACACAGTAACAAGTGCCAAAGATCCCACCGGTGTCATTTGCACTGACCCATTCAATGCCCCAGGCTCTGAAATGCAGAAAAAGTTCATTCATTTAATTTTTCATTCATTCATAACAAGTAAATCGGAAGATCTATTTCTCCAGGATGAGTCTGATCCTTTGTACTCATAATTAATCATTAATAGGTCACTATATGGGTTAAATAGAAATGTCAAGATTTACTGCTAAAGTTAATGAAGTTGTTTGGGGACTTGTGTCAAAATGTCCTTAAACTGAGGTACACACAGTGAGGGGTCATATTTTTCACTCTTTCAGGGAGGGGTTCTATTTTACCCATCAAGAGAAGGGTAACATTTAACATTCATCAGGAGAAGGGTTATATTTAACATTCATCAGGAGAAGGGTTACATTTAACATTCTTCAGGAGAAGGGTTACATTTAACATTCATCAGGAGAAGGGTTACATTTAACATTCATCAGGAGAAGGGTTACATTTAACATTCTTCAAGAGAAGGGTAACATTTAATATTCTTTAAGAGAAGGGATACATTTAACATTCTTCAAGAGAAGGGTAACATTTAATATTCATCAAGAGAAAGATCATATTATACACTCATTAAGAGAATGATTATATTAACATTCATCCAGAGAAGGGTCATATTTTAATTATCAAGAGAATGGTTATATTTTTTCTTCTATTCAGAGATGTGCAATATGGACTACTGTTAAAAAGTAGATATACCATTTTCAACTATAGTAATACTATATATATATATTTATAAAATATAGTATTTAATGTGTACTTACTTCGAATGATCTTGACACTCTGTTCTTTCTGGATGTCACCCAATTTGGCATCCTTGACTCTAATGAAGAAAGTGTCTTCAAAGTGCCGATCCTCCACTTTCCTTACTGCCAATGAACTCCAAACACTGTTTTTTCCATTACTCTGTGAACAAAGGAATAGCAGACATATACCAATAATTTGTCTCACTTTATTCTGTAAAATATTTCATGTCAGTGTTTCCAATGAATGTGTTATATTAAGGGATTAATTAACACAAAAAACAATGTAATATAATTTAATCCCAGCTTCCAAGATGTGAATTTGTTACGTCTTCACATTGGCCAATCATGTGCGAGGTTACTAAAAGTTTTTTACATTATGGGGTAATAAACCAATTGACCGGTGAAAATGCCTGTTTTGTACATTGGGTCTTATTAATGAGGGATTGATTTATCATTACATAAATATTGTTGAAACCATTTGACCATACATGACCTTGAATGATCCTCTGTAAACACTTACCATACAGGAGAGTTCATATCCTGCGACTTTATTTCCTCCATGCTCAAATTCCCGATTGGTGGTTCCAGACTTCCACATCACTTTCTTGCAGGTCACATCAGCTGCTACTACAGTGCAGTTCATCACAGCCTTGCCATCATTGCGACGTGCACGTGTTGTTTCACAGTTGATTTCAGGGACAACTGTAATCATAAAGTCGTCCCATGTTAGATTTGTATTATAAAGACTTGTAAAGGTTTTTCAGTGTTTAACAGAACTGAAATGATATGCTTTGTCGTAGTTAAATTATTCTAAATTTTGTCCCTCACGTTTATATAAGATATTGTCAGAAGCGGACATAAAGCCATATTATAATATTCACAGCATAAAGCTCTTTTTATTTGTAAGGAACAGATTCAAATGATAATCTTTAAGCCACTCATATATTTTCCATGAGGTTGAAATCCAGATAACAGATTTAACTGATATCAGCTGCCATTTTGAACATCATCATGTGCCATTTATTTCAAAATTTTCTCATCACATTCACAAATACACTTTCAATAATTTAAGTAGTGTTTTCGACTAAAACAGGTATCCTTTGTCTGGAAATCTTCATTCATTAGTTTCATTTGTAATTCTATATCACTTTGACAAAAAAGAAGTGTCCTATGCTACAGATAATACATCATATGGCTGACCTTAGTGTTTGTTTGATGGATACAGTTTATATAAAAATAAGATATAAAAACATGCTGTAGACTGTATAAATCTATATCACACAAGCTGTTACAAAAAATGATGCACATACATTCTGAACATAGCTGATTCTGTATTCGACGTTTTATATTCAATTTAGAAAAAAAAACTCAGGATATTTTGCACCAGAGAAATGACTTTTGGTTTCAATAGATATACTTGGGTAACTATTAGCTCATTATTCTGTGATTGACTGCTAATTCCGACGACTTGCTGTGTACATACTTTCCATTCTGACATTCATATTTCGATAAATGTAAACCAACTTTTGTATTTTCTTTCACAAATTTCAAAAATGAAGCAAAATCATATTTTTTTTTTTGCCAATACAATTGAGGATAATTAAGACTCACTTTCTGAATTAAAACAATTTAAACTTCATGACTAATTACATCATGAGCAGTAATTTCTCCAAACTTTGTATACTTAAGACATACAGCTATATCATGTAAATAAATACTGCTGATTTCAGTGTCAAGAACAAAGTATTCCATTGAGCGTTCTATTTGACAAATTACTTGTTAAGTAACTTTCAGGTAGAGATCGTTAGCATGTTTGAATCTAATGACTGAACATCAGCATATATGAAGGCATACAAGCTTATAAATCTCTTTTTAAATTGCAATCTAAATCAGGTTCCATAACTGAAAGTTAATTAGGCTATTTTGATCATCGGTGTGTGGTACCAAATTTGCTGTTAATGAAGTGTCAAGTGTGGTTCCAATCAATTAACAGCTTAACTGATCTGTGACCCTCAATTCATTCATGTATGACACGCTTACCTGTTGAGGCCAACTTACAACCATGGATGGGGTTCCCAATGGGGTTTTACCGACATTAAATCACACAAAACTTGTAATGCTAAAAGAACTTAAAGGAACTTGGGTTACACTATAGTAAATGAATAAAGAGACACATTTCAAACCAACTAACCGTCCACAACATCAAGGTTGAAGTATACGGAGTGCTCCTTGAATTCTTTGCGATTGACCATCACATTGCAGCCAATGTTTGTGTCAGCTGTCGTCAGATTGAGTGTTGCGCTGGTTTCATTACTTATTCTATCACCATTCCTAAACAATGTGTACACAGGTTTAGGGTAACCACCTGCAGCATTACACGTTATGGTGTATGCTCCACTCAGCAATCTGGCTGTACTTGTTGTTGATTCTGAACTTCCAGCTTCATGGACCAGTTTCATTTCCTTGCCACCCCCAACCTTGGTTAAGGTCAATTCCACTTCGCCGACATCTACAGAAATAAATCAAATGCAATCAAAAACAATGCTTTCAATAAATACATTTTGAGATAAGTAGATGATATGTGGTTCAGTGCTTAGAGGGATTTTGGTTCAGGAGAATGTCTTTCCCAAAAAACACATGATCATTTTTTGCTATTTATCATGCAAATTAGAAATCTGTTTGACTTACTCAAGCTATGTAAGATATCTAGTGACAGTTTGGTGCTACAGTAATATGTATGCTGCTGCAGATTCACAAACATTGTATTGAATTTCTTTATTATCTTGGTAACTCTTTCTGGCTCAACCCTTGATGGTTTTACCAAAGACTGGGAGTTTCAATATGCCCTGCAAGTCATTGGCACATAGGTATATTTCACTAAAACATGTAACAGGCTAATAATTTATTTCAATACCTTTGCTAGGATTTGAACCAGGAAATCCTGGATTACTAGTCTGACGACCAAGTTATCGAGCTGAAGAGAAATTCTCTCTAGGACAACAGTTTATTGTGGCTGGTATATTACTATGGTTACAGATATATGGAATACTTATTCTTTCTTGTCTCTAACTTTACTAAAAGTTAACAAAATTCACAATCACAAAACTGGATCAAGGATGTGAAATGTCAATTGTTCATGGACAAATCACAAAGGACATAACATGCTTAGGTGACTTAAATCTTTGGTATAATTATCTCCTGATACAGTAAAAGGATGTTATATAAGTAATGCCTCAATTACTGTTATTCAAATATCACTTATTGGGATTGAGACGTATGTTATAATGAAGCCAATAAAAGTACCTGTTTATAATAATGCTGACCTTAAATGACCCCAGAAAGTTGAGACAATACCTTAAGATGATGCTTTCAAGTAGACGCATGAAGTTTCAGGACACTCAGATAGTAAATGAAGCCAGTAGAGTGGGGAAGATGCCGAGTTATGAACAAGTCTTAAAGAATATATCAATATATCACAGGGTTTTCCATAAAAGCTGGTCGCCGGCCAATTTGACCGGCTACTTTGATCATTTGGCCGCCTACACCAATCCAGTTCCGTAATAATGTTCCGTACATGACTACACGTACACGGCAGGCCAGCCTCCTACTTTCACTTCACAGCCTACTACTAACAAAATTATGGAAAACCCTGATATCACCTCACTAACACATTTTTAAGCTGTGCTATTTTCCTTTTTTTTGTAAGTGCACCTTGCAAAAATATCCTGATATATAATATGAAACCATAAACATATTCAACATGTGGTAAATTTCTAGTAGCAGAGGTAAACATTTAGATATAATAATCTTGACTGTAAAAAACTGATGAAAGGCATTTACCTTCGGCAGGGAAGACACTTAACGTTGTATTTTTAACGATCGTCCGGTTTCCTAGATGGTCACGGACACACTGCCACAAGCCACTATCACTAGTTATTAGATCTGTAATAACAAGAAAATGATATAAAATCTTACATACTCAAGAAAGAGAAACACAAAAAAACACCTATTTTTCTTTTGCCCAAATTTCATAATTTCTGAAAACAAAAGAAGGATCTTGGCACCTACCACCGAATGATCTTTATTTGCTCCGTGCAAGCTTAAGACTGATCTTTCTTTGCTGTTTCCTTTTTCTCTTTTTTTTCTCTCTCATCATTACTTGATAACAAAAGGGAATCTTAAATCTTCAGATGAATTCTAAGAAAGATCTTACTTTCAGAGAAATAGCAGTACCAAAATTCACAATAGTCTCTTGTCAGACAATTTGTTTCACTGCTCAGTCTCACAATGGGTTAAATAGGGACGATGGTAAACATACACATCAACAGTGAGAAATTTTCCTCCAATATTTCCTTCAATAAAAGGTGAAAACAAATTTAGCATGGTCTGTGACATAGTTGATATTTCAAAAATCAATAGTCAATCTCACTCATGAAAAAATAATAGGATGTACGACAGACATTTCACTGTCATTATTTTTGAACATTAATTCATTTTACACAGCAAAATACACTGTTTTACAGCAATAATACAAATTATATATTCACTGAAAAAAACAGTCAATAGTTTTACCCATTTTTGACAAAAATATCAATTTCTCCTAGAGTGAATTACGGTAAATGTAGGGGACAAATTTCAAGTGAATATAGGGAAACATTTCCTTAGAGAATAGGAGGAAATATTTACTATATTGATCCTTGCCCTCTATTATGTAGAAATAGCACTTAACAGTTACTGGTACTTGAGAAGTGAATTATCATGATCATGTGTGACCAAATGAAACAAAAGTATTAAATCCAATTCACTATTTAATCCAGTTATATTCATATGAAAACATTATCTAGAAGAATCATGAGTGTATTGAGTGATGGGGCGTGTCAAAAATACATACGATGTTTCACTCTGTGTTTCTTGAACCTGAGCAGTCTAAAAGTCGGTCACCATGTCGGAATATTGTTTTTAAAAAAAATCAATCTTTGATTAGAACTACTCAGAAGAAAAAATATTTCTTGTTCCTTATGAAAGAGTGAAAAAGATTGAAAATTTGCAGACTACTTGAGAAACTTTAGCTGTTATTTATTAAACAAAAATAACCCCTATAAATGGATATTGCAATATACCTATCTGTACCTCAATTGTGCTGAATCAGCAATCTTTACCATTCGGAAGAAGATTAGCATACATCATGCTTATAGGGTAATACAGTAACAATTTTATTCACTGGTGAATTGGTAGTGAGGAAGTAATCTTTATTCTAAAAATTTAGTCCTAAATATCTCAAATTCTCTTGTTTACTGCACCTGTATTGACACACGGTAGGTAAGTCTGTTTATGCTTCATTAAGTGTAATTCATGAAAGTACTTCAAAATCTTAGACCAGCTGATCAAAAACATTCTCCAAAATCATAATATAATAATCTGATAAATACATATATAATTGTTTTTTTAAAGTTTGATCTTTTCTCTTCTTTCTTGTTTGTGCTTTTAATAATATGAAATTTGAAAATATCTTTAACTGCCAAATTCAATATGGTTGCCTGTTGAACATCTTGTTTTCTGATCAGTCCCAAAAATCAAAGGGTGCAATATAAGGGACCAAGAGGAACGAACCTACTTAAGAAATTAGAGAAAAATCTATTATGATACTTTTCAAGAAATATATATATATATATATATTGATAACAAATTTACTGTCCGTGTCAATATTGAAGTATGAGCAATAACAAGGAATGTTTCAGGGAGACGAACCGCCTATTTAAGGCGAGTTGAATAGTCAACAATCAGGTCCAAGTCTGAAAGAGGCTGATAGCTCAATTGGTGGAGTGTTCATTGATCTGTAACACATTCATAACTGCTACTAGTAAAGATCAAAGTTTGTGATTCATCACTCTCTACCTGTGAGGGTTTGTGTTGCCCAGGAAGCTCAGAAACATACTGGCCTGCTCAGCCATAGTTGTATTCTTTGGCAGGACAATTCACCTTAATTGCTCTGAATGGCAATTGTGGTGGTTCTCCTTTATTATTTTCACTAAGGTAGCCAGAAGTAACTACAAGGAGACCATGGATTCTAGGAACTAAAAACACAGCTGAAATCAGGTGTTTCTGCAGTCAATCAGGCAGGCGTTCAGCTTTCTGCCCAATGCATCTACAATATGCAGGTAGCACATTATCCAGCTGATTGGAAACTCAACCTAGCCAATTTCCCTTGGTTTTGCCCCTTCTCTTGTGAAACATTAGACAATGGTTACATTCCGAAAGTTCTTACTTGAACTGCTCAATACTTTCCTCTTTTTGTGTTTACTCATGGCTCAAAAAAGCATAAAATTTACAGTGAGAACAAATAAGTTAGGTGTATGAATGACTTCAAACCATTCTTTTCTGTAAATATTGATTATGGAATAAGTTTTTGATTGAACATAGACAATCTACAACTCAAATGTTCCAGCCAAAAATGAGGTATGAATATCTTTGCAAGTATGAAATGCAGATAAGGATAATTCCACAATTTTACCTCTTTTTTTCTCTTTCACCAATCTTGACAGTGGTACAGCTTAGGTATTGAATTCTTTGACAAATTAATTATCCATTATTTAGAGGAAACTTACATGATGAAGTACATAGAAAGCCATGAATACAAGCTCTTATGAACTTGAATATATAGCATGAACTTTCTAAACTGAAAGTAGAATAAAAATAGATCTCTTTAATCATGTCTTCTGAGAGCCATGTGTATCATAAATATTTATATCATATGCAGACTTACTTGTGAAATTGAACTGGAAAATTGTTTTCCTCCCTTCTACACTCAATTTCATTGAATATGATGAGCTTGGATACTGGTCTTTTAATTCAAGATTATTATTTTTAAACACCGTCACATTTTCCGGCTGCCTCATGAGTAAATGTGCAGTTCCCATTAAAAGTTGTGAAACATTCACATTGGGATCACACGACAGCAAGTAGCTGTCGCCGGCAACTAAATCGATGCGTTTGGCTTGTGAAGACCCTGAAAAGAAACAAGAAAATCAGTGAACGACAACATTTTATAAAGATTTAATGGCATGTGACTTCAACACTCCATTTCTATAATCACATATATACACTACTAGATATTGTGTTAGTTACTGAAGGTCTCAGTCATTGTGCAACTTCCAAAAAACTGATATTCACTTAACAAAGTAATGTAAATTGTGTGTTTTTATTTCCAACAGAATTCTCATCATAAGGACAGTACTATTGCAGATATGTGTCATTCTGTGATTCTATAACTTCACTGTACCACTATTAGGCCTCAGCTTGAAGCAAGATCTAATGTAATAAAATTGACTGTTTTGATAAACCACCAAGCAAACAAGATCTTTCTGTTAAAGCAGATTATATGACACTACTGTAACCGGATCTGAAGAAGATTTGTTTTGAAATTTCAGCCTATTTTAATACCCTTTGACTCCAATCCAGTTTAAATTGTCCATTTATCAGTCATGAGTCAAAAATATGCGAGTTATAAATAATGTCAAACTATAAATAATGTCAAACTATCGAATGCCAATGTTTCTGACCACATTTGAATTGTTTCCACTTGCACTGAAGTAAACTGTACCCTGAAAAGTCCTATACATTTTTTATAAACTATTGTAAACTTTACTTCCTTCTTTCAAGAGAGTAACTCGAGATCTGGACCAAATTACTTTTACATTTCTAAGTACTTTATATAACAATCTTTAAATTTCATCCATGATTTATTTTTCCTTTATTCTGACGGAGGTTCTTGAAATATCAGACAATTTGATCCTTTCACATCCCTTTTCATTCAGACTGGTTTAAGAATTGAGACTGATGGACCATACAATTGGTCACCCTTGACCCCATTGTATTGTATATCAACTGTAAACAGTTTACAGATCAAACAGCACCAGAGTATGGGCATAACAATACATCTTGTAATTCACTGATATACTGTCTCACGATCTGTATAGATATATTTATTTCAGTTTTTAATGCTGTTTCTATAGCAACTATTGTGGATTTGCAAATTTCTCATATAATTTTTATATCCTAAGTTCTCACTAAAATACGACTGCATTTATTTCAGTTTCTGGTTTCTGAATGCTGTTTCTATAGCAACTATTGTGGATTTGCAAATTTCTCATTGCAATAATTTGACAAAAAATAAAGCTATGGACTGTGAGTATGTTGTGTATAGATATTTTATAAATTTTATATCCCAAGTTTGCTATGGACTGTGAGTATGTTGTGTATAGATATTTTATAAATTTTATATCCCAAGTTTGCTATGGACTGTGAGTATGTTGTGTATAGATATATAAATTTTTTATCCTAAGTTTGCTATGGACTGTGAGTATGTTGTGTATAGATATTTTATAAATTTTATATCCCAAGTTTGCTATGGACTGTGAGTATGTTGTGTATAGATATATAGATTTTATATCCTAAGTTTGCTATGGACTGTGAGTATATTGTGTATAGATATATAATTTTTATATCCTAAGTTTGCTATGGACTGTATGTTGTGTATAGATATTTAGATTTTATATCCTAAGTTTGCTATGGACTGTATGTTGTGTATAGATATTTAGATTTTATATCCTAAGTTTGCTATGGACTGTATGTTGTGTATAGATATTTAGATTTTATATCCTAAGTTTGCTATGGACTGTATGTTGTGTATAGATATATAAAATTGATATGTAAAGTTTTTATTCTAAATTCGCTATGGGCTGTGAGCATATATAATGCTGTATTTAGGTATATAAACATTCAGAGATAAAGTTTTGCATGAAGGGTCTGCTGACAACTATATTTGTAAAGGTTTATCTGATGTAAGCTCTTTAAAATTCTGGTATACATTATTACCTCCCTTGAACTCATTACCTGTCTAGATATCTGGTGGTAATCCTTCAACACTTGAGATCCAATCTCAAACACTATTCATTCTACACCAGTGTGACCAATCAGATGAATATACAATCGATATAACTGTTGTAATTGAGCATGCAGGACATCATTGATATAAACATTTTAACCAATTGAATACATAACAAGGAGACAAAAATTGTTAGTCAGGGTCAAACAGCATGTCTGCATGGGCTTGAATAATGCATGAAATCTTACTATAATTAGCTTTATCAAAGCCTGAAGTACTTCAATTCAACTCAAAAGCGTAGCATAGCATTTGTGGGATGAGCTGGACAGGTGTATTATGACATGTCAAAATCCCCCAACTGACCATGCCCAGTTAATCGCAGCATTAACACAAGAATGGAACAACATTCCCTTATGGAGAGGTAATGTTCTCATGATTTCAATGCATAGGGGAATCCATGCAGGGATTCCTGCAAGAGGTGCCCACATCAAATACTGAAGTATCATTTCGTTTTTCGCGGGTATTGAACTTTGAGCAACTACTTGCTGGGATACCTGAAGGTATGCAGCAAAGGTAATGATTGCTGAACCCAGCATAGGATGTGACAAGGAACAAACAAAATCTTTCCATATTTAGCTACTTTAAGGGGAAGATTTCTACTAATATGTTGTCATGAAGAAGTCCAATACTCTAGGAGAACCCATGTATTGTTGCTTTAGGTCCTATTAACAGCCGGGGTCATTTACAAATGAGCCAAATTTGAATGTTGGAGGAAAGCTGCAGTTCCTGGAGAAAAAAACACCCCTCTGTAGCCAGTACCTGGTGACTGCCCAAACTGGGCTTCTGATGAAGATGGTCAGACGTCTCAACCACTGTAGAGAAACCAGTAGACAAACTGCCTAATACATTAAAAAAGAACCTGCCTTTAACCTTTAGTGATTGATTCTCCCGATTTGTTTTCGAAGAGTTACACATAAATGTTGTTACTGGTTGTGGTTTAACTGTACGTGATTCTCCACTACTTCATTATGCATGACTCTCTTGTAACTACATACCTTTTTAACATGATTACATGCTTACAATATTCCATGTCTATCTTGCTTGGTATCGCAGTCTGCACTTAACTTTTTAAAGGCTTTATATATACCAGCCCTAAAAGGATTTTTTTTCTGTTTTCCTAAAATCCTTTTCTTTTGTGAATTCCAGTAATCTTTGCCTGACCATAAACTCCAGGAAATTTTTACCCAACTTGTCAGTTAGAACGTTTGCACACAATGGTATGAATGCCAATGATTTCAACAGTGGATCATTCACAGTTAATAATTTGACTGTTTAATAAATTTGGACCGACTCCAAGTTTTGCAATTCCCACAAAGAAATTGTATTAAGATATTTTACAATAAAATATGATATCTCCAAATTAATGATCTGAATCATGAAATTAAAGCATAATTTCAGTATTTCATTATGTCATATTATATCTCTTATCAAAGAGCCAAGCGTGAAAATATCAACCTGAATGGGTTTTTTTTCTATCATTTAATTTTTTTATCTTAAAGAGCCAGATCCACTCCTCGACCGAGATTATTTCACATTAAAAAAAAAATCATGATTTTCTTTTTTTCTCGGGTTGTAAAAGACCGGACTAACCCTGTAATACCACAATTTTAAAGTAAGTCGCTAACAATCTAACGTAATAAATAGTTTTAAAAAAGAATTCAAAATGACTCAGCGCTAATTCATAATTATGTGGGAAGTCCTGCCCTCTGACACATGCGCAAAGAACTGTAAACAAATCTGCCGTCTTCCAACATGGCAGAAAGCGTGCAAGGGAAGCGGGGAAGAAAACGTGTTTTGACGGACTCTGAGACGAAAATGAGGAAGATGGCTGGTTCATACTGTATCGCTCACTGTTTGGCTCTCTTGTGTAGTATCACTCTAAAATCATATTCATGAATACTCTTATCATCGAATATTCACTTCAGATAGATCCATTTCGCGATGTTCTATGTGTTAGTTACTGTATCGTAGCCCCCATTTGAGGGCCTCTTTGCAATTAATCGTAGTTTTTCTCGTAATCTGCACGGTTTTGTATCATATCTAAGCATTGAAAGATGTGATCAATACATATGTTAGATGATTTCCATACAGGATATATAGAGTATTGATTGTATTTATTGGTAAAATTTCTTTACAAGCGATGTCACATGGACGTACTACTCACCTCTTCCTCCATTTTTGTTTTGGTTCTGACCACGTCTGAATGTATATGTGACTTTTCATCATCAATATTCATATCCTGGTGTTGATTAATGAGACTAATTCTGGCACCGATATCTCCAGTACCCTTTCAATTTCAAGTTCGAAACTTTATACAAGTCTTTATTCATATGTTATCTATTAGTATACAACAACGTTTCCAGTTAATAAAATATGAAAAAATATCTATAACGGAGTTGGTCTGGCTCTTTAATGCATATTCTCGTGACACATTCTAAGAAACAGACTGTTCTTTACCTTTATTGCTGCGGATAGCGTCATGTGAGAGACCTCTGCATGTTGTTCACTGACATAAGTCACTACCAGCTGCTACCCTCTTCCCACCTCAAAATAACCCTGGCTATTCACCGAGTATCAAGCCAATAACCGTATAAGAAAGCTACATTTTAGTATTTGAGCTTTGCTTGATTCCGCCAGCATTCTTAAATCTGCTGATCTAGTTGGGACAACTTTTGTGAGAAGGCTACACTTTGCAGGCAGGTTAACAAGTCTTTATAAGTGCTTTGATATAGAATGCCAATGTCCTGAACAAGTACATGCAGGAACAAATGTTGTAATGTTACTTACTTCATACCAATAATAAAAGTTTCGTTCACTTATACATATTTCTTTTTGCTTACCGTATTTCACCACATATAAATACGCCCCCCCCCACCCCCTTAAGTTTTGATTCCTATTTTTTTGTGACCTAAAATTCACAGCATTCTGTACTAAAATAAATTGGGAAAATCATATCTTCTACAACATTGGGAAAACAATCTGCTCACCTTTTTCGGGAAAATTGCAATTATTGGCAAGAAGCAAAAAAGAAAATTTCAATTATGCCACTCTATTAACTTTTA